CCCCAAAACCCCAAAACCCCAAAACCCCGAATGAGCAAATTTATGATAAATTTAGAGAAATTCCAAATCAATTTGTAAAGTAAGTTCCATATGAGTCTGTAGGGTGGTTTAGCCTAAGTTCAAGCTGATTTTATGTGAGTGTTATGAACTTTGATGGAAGTAAAGATCTAGCGAATCTCTCAGATACATACATTTTAGTTGCACAATTGCTTATGCATTTAAATTCTACTTCACTTAATACTTTCGATTACGTTTCATTATCTAATGTTTAATCATTCTATTCCACCTTATTTAGATTCATTATCCTTTTTGACTAATCTGAGTAAAGTTCTGGGTCATTAAGTTTAGTAACACATGCTTTTCTGCAAAACTCAGCTTAATTAATAAGTAAGAGCATATTATTTTGCTATTTAAAGTACTTCTGCTCATCCTATGTAAGCTCAACTGAGTGAATTAGGGATTATGCTAGCATTTTTAGTCTATTGTATTTAAAGTATGTTTATATTTTATGGCAATAAATTTAATTCTAAACTATAATATGACGAGTTAAGTAATTTAACAAATCTTAATTAATCATTAGTCATTAAAAAGAAATCAATCCGACCAACCTATCTTCATTTCATGCTAGCTTATTTATTCAAAGTGATTTCAAAGTATCTACAACTTGCTAAAGGGCCGATGACTTGGCATTAGTAATGACAAAAGTAGGATTCAAGATAGTCAAATGAGCTCTGAGCAATATTATACTCTAATCTGCAACAATTTTATTCTCTGAGTTATCTACAAGGTCAAATAGCCCTTTCTAAATGAGGGTGAGAGTTTCTTCTTTTTCTTTTTATCCTTGCTCGAATTCTTTGATGAAATCTTCATTATTCTTAATTTAAACTCTCTTTGAATATGAGAGATCTAAATGCTGGTGAGTAGAGGCTCCCTCATCGATAGACATCTTCTCTTTAGAAGATTATGGCATATCCTTTTGGTTGTATAGTGTAAACATCTATTACTATCTTTGGTTGACTAACTGAGATAGATTATTAAGAATCTTGAATTCAATTAAATCTTAACTTAACTCCTCATTCTCTGATATTTTTCTTATGAGTGAATCGAGACAGTATTAAACAGCATATTTTGGAATTACTAGGCCAAGAGAGAACAGCTTATCAATAATTTGTAAATTTTTCCTAGGATTGTTAATCCACATTTGGCAGACACTCTTCATTAGTGTAATTTGACTCTCAGCAATTGTGGTTCCCAAAAAGAATGGCTTAATTATTTCATGATAGTAAATCTCTATGAACCTCTTGAGATGCTCTAGACTCTTCTTAGTTCTAGCCATTATACACTCAAGGAAAATCTCCTTGAGTTATTCACCAGTTGCTTCCAGCTTTGATTGTTCACCAACCAATGCTTCAAAGAGGTTCTTAGGAGTTTCTTTGCTATTTAATTTATCCAAGATTATTTAAGCATCAGGGTTATCTTAAGATTCATTGCAATATTTCAATACTGGCTCTTAGAATAGGCGGTCTTCTGGCAACAAATGATGATACTTTTCATCAATTTGTTGTTGAACCTTTTTGGTAAAGGACATTCTAACCAATACAATAAATAACTTCTTCAATATTTCCTCATCTACATCTTAATTCACAAATTTCTCTAGTAGCAAATCGAATTTGAAGTCAAGTTAACTGATATAGAAGCTAGTGAATTCCATTAATCTTTCTTAAATTTCAGAGTCTAAATTTTCATATTGCTTGAAGTAATGACTAATACACAGTTCTAAGTGATCTTGAATCTTCTTAAAATTGGCAGAATCTTTAGTCTAGCTAATTATAGTGTTCATTACCTGAGCATAGAATATTGGTAGAGTATGAGATTATGGAAGCTTGAACGCTGACGTAAAGATGCTATTCAATATCATTTGCTGATGAAATTCTTATAACTTTTCATCTATGTAGAGAGACCAAAGATTATGGGCAGTCATTTCTTGAGAATCAGAGAAAGAGCAGAGAACTTAGGATAGCAAATCTTCATATAAAATTTACTCAACTCTCTAATTAAGTTTTACCTTTGTAGGATTGAGAGGAATAGAAGAATAGTATTTTAGTTACTATGATTTTTATTCGATCTTTCCATCTCGAAGTACAAATCCCTCAACATTTAAGTTCGATTCGTCCAGTAAACTGTCAAGTTTCAAATGATTAATCCTTTTGGTTGATAATTTCAGTTGAGTCTCAACTTCTGAAGTAACACTTATAAGGATAGATTGATAGTTTATTATCTAATCTTAATTTTGCCTAAATTCTTCCCAAAGTAAACTGATTGTATCTTGATCTTAAGATTTCCTCAAAGGGTTCAATGCCCTAAAAGAGCTAGATTTATTGTTAGCTCTATCATTCATTTGAACTCTTAACTTTTCGAAGAAACTTCTGTACTCTTAAGTCTATTCTTGATTTAAAACTTCTGCCTAAAAATGAAAAAAAATAATTCAGACTAAAATTACTGAAATTTGTAGAGCAAATATCACTGAAACAAGAATAAGATCTAAAGATATATGGAAGTTTTTGCTTTGGCTGCAGTCTAGAATCTTTGATAAAATTTCAAGAGTCAATTTCGAATCTATTAACTTGTAATTTGTGAGAGCACCAATTAGTCTGAGAACACTTTTAGCATGAGTAGCATTTTGCTAGGTGCTAAACAAAGACAACTTCAATGTATCGAAGAGTTCCTAAACAATTTAAGTGGCGAGTTCAAGGTCCTCTTGGCCAATGAGAGTAATGAGTGCAGCGTAAAGCATGACTTTATGAGGGAGATTTTAAATGCACTTGACAAGTGTATCAACAACTACTTCTCTGTAATTACTTTGAGTCTACTCAAGCAATATAAATTCTTTGAGTTTCTTGACATGCTCATCTCTCAGATGTCTTCTTTCATCACCAATTCTTACAATCATCAATTTCAGCCTATTAAAAATTAGAAGTTAAGGTTTAATTACTTGTCTTTGTGAGTCAAGGGCTTTGGTAATACAGATTATTCTGGTGGGAGATCATTACCTCCTTAATAATGACCTTTACTTCCTGTTCTGTGATCCATAGATTTTAATAATTATTTTATTTAATTTATAATAATTTAATGGGAGCTTGTTTATCAAGATAAGAGGAATTTAACGCCCAGGTAGGGCAGTTTGAGAAAAGTTTACCTTTTTCAAAAATATCAATTCAAGACTATCAAGAAAGGGTAAAGAGGCTAGTTTTCGAAGGTGATTAAGATCAAATAACTCTAAGACAGCTCATTGAATCTTTTAAAGATAACAACTCTTTCCATACAGAGCTCTCAACTGAAGGCAGTGAGCTAAGAAGCATATTTCTAAGCAAATATCTTAAGAAACCCTAAATGAAATCTTTACTTGGACTAGATGGCAAGAATCAGGCTCCTCAGAAAATTTCTGAATAAAGCCTTGCTGACTAAAATGATTTAAAAATTTGGGTCACTGGCCTTCTAATGCTTGGTATACTGTACTGCCAAGGTTCAGCTAGAGTAAAAGCTAATGTATTTTTCGAGATATTGCAAAAAGAGTTGAACAGTGATATTACTCATCAAGATTAAGAATTCATTACATTTTACCCAATCTATCTTCAATATGCCACTTCGCTTCCCTACCATTTCACAGCTATAAGACTTGGAAAGGAGCTTGATGAAGACAAGGAAAAAGATGAAGAGGAAGAACTAGAAACTATCTATGATAGCATTAAAGAGGAACTCATTGATTTAATTTACGGAACTTATAACAATAAAGTCTCGAGAAGTGAATTTATTGATAAGTTATCAGGCTCATTATGGAGGTATCTAGATGCTAATGAGTTAAGAAAGATACTAGATAAAAAGCTTAAAGAGAATAGCATCAATTCCTATTTAAAATCTTAGCTAGATGAATTAGGTGGAATCAGAGTAAATGGAAACGGACCTGCCCAAACATAGGCTTGAAAATCTCACTTATTTAAATCTTATTTTTCTTTATCTTTCTACAAACAGTATAGATTCAACGGGGTTTTGGGGTTTTGGGG